GCCCCCGTCCTGGCCAGTCCGAAATCTCTTTAGGACAGTGGTTCCTCACCCGTGCACCAAATTGCACCTCCTGCTGGTTGACCTGTCAGCGTCTGCCTAAGTGTCAGTGGCCTTTGGGCTCCCGATGGTGAGGAAAGGCTGCTGTGTCTGTTGAACACCTACAGGCACAAAATTCGTTCTCCAGAAGAGATGGTGGAAGCTGAAGAAGCTGTGCTCAAAGCTCTGAGGGATGTTTTTTGAAGGAAATAGGAAACAAAGCACACCCTGCAACACTGATGGTCTTTATACAAGCCCTTTCCTTTGTCCATAGCTAAAGGAATCCAAACAGGCAGTGAATAGCCTTCGGGATATCGTTGATGATGATGATGACGACCTTGAGAGGGTCAGCTGGAGTGGAGAACCTGTGGGAAGTAAGTGCAGAAGTGCTGCAAGTTATCCTTGAGATGGAGAGAGTTTAAAATTAACGCTTAAGTCATGTCATTTAGTTAAGCTCAGGAATACTACTTGTTATCTAATCCTGCATGTCAAATCTAATTCTAGCCTCTTCAGGTCACATTGTGAGCCACTTGATTTACCTGTGTGGATTCACTGACGACTGAGCAGAAGCCCAAATTACATCTAAGAATGCAGACAAGTGGAGGGAATGCACTGTTTTTCCTAATGTGTAGCCCAGCTTAGGACAGATATTTGGATGTTATGGCATGATATTCATCATCCTCAGCTGGTCTGCAGGATTCTAGGTGATCATTTCCTTCACACTGCTGCCTGAAATGGTGCCATTTAAAGTTCTCTGTGCTTTGTCCCCACAGTGGTTTCAGGAATTAATCCAAGGTTTAGTGTGTGTTTGTAGATTGACTCTTATGCTTGAAGTTTGAAAGGGAGTTGTAAGCATCAAGCAGATGTGTTTCTAGTGGTGGTGGGAGCAAGCTCATGAGCCACAGATGATGTGCTCTTCTGCGCTTTGGAGTTTCTGCCCCATAGAGTATGTGGTACTGGGTAGCCAAGTAAATTTCCAAACAGCAGAAATTTACGTTTCGCTCACACAGGAGTCTGTTCTTGCCTTATGCTGTAGCTCCTTCCTCTGGTTCAGTCCATTTCATTTCCCACCCAAGGCCTTTGCCTATCAGCTTTTTTGCTCTATCATCACCCTGTCCTAAAATGTGTGTGTGTGTTGTGCAGCTGCATGAAAAATAGGAAAAAATGTGTCTCAAACAAGCAGGAGGGAGACATACACATTGTTGCTAGCACCATATGCACATTGATAGCTGTTCTGTCTGTGTGGGGAAGAAAACTACCTTAGTTTTCCAGTGTTCAGGAAGATATACTTCTGTAATTTGAGGTAAACCAGGGATTCTTTGTCTTGCTCTGTATCTTTAGAACAAGGATTATGCTTTATCCCTTTGTTGTATGTGCTTTATATGCAACAAAACTGTTGGGTGGTCTGTGCATTTTTTTTATATAAGCTGTAACCAGCTGTACAACAAGGAGGAGAATGCATAATGTTTAACAAGCACTGTTAGATGAGATTGGGATTCTGTGTACCACATCTACGTAGTGCTGAGAGTCACAGTTACCAGTATGTGCTAGTGCAGAGTTAACTGAGCAGG